AGAGCAAAGGCCAAAAGAAACATTTCAAATAGAGGGAATGGCACATGGAAAAATCCCTGAGGTTGGAGAGAGCAAAGTAAATTGGAGACTGAGAGAAGCCTGGCCAGTGTGGCACTTCTGCCTGGGAAGGTGGCATGAAATGAGGCTGGAGAGCCAGGCAGGGGCAGCTAGGTTAGGGATGTGTTAAGGATGTTGATCTTAAGCATAAGAGCAGTGAAGCACTCCCAAATAACTTAATTGATTCATGTGCTGTTAGGTAGTGTTGTAGGAGACAAAAACATTCATTTCATTAAGAATAAACTATTGAAAAAATACTTTGGAGAACTACATTCTGTGATTTTAGTTAAATAACTCAGCTTAGGTAAATAGGGAAAATGAATAGATTTTTCTAAAACAAAAACAACTTACAGATTATCTTAATGTTTCACTGAATACCTCCTAAGTGAGGTAAATTTGAAAATTAAAAAACACACACACACACACACACACAAAAACCTTTCCCATTCTTAACAACTGATGAAGCATTGAAAACATTTAGGTGGCCCTACAGGGTTTGGCTCAGTGGATAGACCATCGGCCTACAGACTGAAGGGTCCCGGGTTCAATTCCGCCAAGGGCACATGCCCAGGTTGTGTCGGCCGATCCCCGCAGGCCAGACCAAGGGACCCCACCGGTGCATGAATCCATGCACCAGGCCTCTAGTGATATATAAATAGCTATGGAATAGGACAACAGAAAAAACAAAGTAATGACTGCCATGGAAATTATGCCAGGATGACTATAGCCATATGAGTGCATGCATCAACCACTAACTTTGAGAACTACTCTTAAATTAGCATATTAAGTCCTCCTTTGAAGGAAAAAAATGTATATTTACCCTGTTCCTGCCTTTATTAGAGGTGGAAAAAGATAGAAGAAGAGAAGGTTCAGAAATCTTCCTGGTTGCCAAGTATTGCAGTAATGAACTGTTGAAATTTCTGTTTACTTGCTGGTTCTTTTTGAAATAAAGAAGTGGATGGTGGTTCCTATTCTGTCACTTATTAAATGATTAACCTTACACCAGATAACATGCCATTACATTGTCTTTACACAATGATGTCATTGTGTACTGATGACTTGCAATCAATTTCCTATTCGTAGTTTGCATTTACACACCATTCAGATTTGTGGTTAATGTTTATGAAGATTGTCTTATCACTTTTAACAGCTTCTTAAGTGACTGTAAGAATTTGCCATAGTGGAAGGATTATTTGCCAGTCAAGTCTTCCTGTTAGTTCCCCCACTCACTGCCCCAACATACATGTGTAGTATCAGTAATTACTCCAACTAAGAGAATAAGAGAAGTTTCCCAAAATTAGAACACTTAACTTTGATGTGGAAAGGTTTGGTTCAGTCTGCTTTGATTTGCTTTTACTTCGCAAAAATGGAGTTAGAAGAATTGGAAGGAGGTGCTGGAAACCATTTTCATTATGTAGACTATAATACATCTACTTTAATTTGTATAATATTTATTTAATATTTAAAATATCCTCTGTTTTCTAAGCATCTTGGTTGATTGGTCAAATAAATGATTCATTTGTTTTAAACAGGTCAAGGTGAAGATGTTCTTAAAGGGCCCCAGATCACATATGTCACAGGTGTAGAAGGGGATGATGTTGTGTCTACACAAGTAGCCATGGTAACCCAGTCTGGGTTGAGTCAACAGGTTACACTCATATCCCAGGATGGGACTCAGCATGTAAGTATGCACCAAAAGCCAAACAAGTTTAATACTATTTCTCTGAACCTGGGCTTGAAAGTCAGATTAGGTCCCACTTGAGGAAATCCTTGAATATCGGCATAAAGTTTGGACCTGAGCTTGTAGGCACTGCTAGCTTTCCTAAAGGTTTTTCAGTAGCATGCTGAGTCTAAGAGAGAAGGTTTGTGACTCTAGAACTCAGATGGTATTACTGGTATAGTTCAAAGGCAAGGCGATGAAGGTCATTACCACAGTGAAATTGAGGGCTTGAAAAGTAATGGATGCATGTGAAACACAATTCAGAGAAGGTATAGGATTTGGTGGCTAAATAGGTCCAGGAGGTGAGATTAAGACATCAGCAGAGCCCTAGCCAGTTTGGCTCAGTGGATAGAATGTTGGCCTGTTGGCTGAAGAGTCCTGGGTTTGATTCTGGTCAAGGGCACATGCCCAGGTTGTGGGCTTAATCCCCAGTTGGGGGCGTGCAAGAGGCAGCCAATCAATGATTCTCTGTCATCATTGATGTTTCTATCTCTCTCTCTCCCTTCCTCTCTGAAATCAATAAAAATATATATTAAAAAAAAAAAGAAATCACAGAGCTTTGGCTGAGTGATGATGGCATCATTAAAAGACCCTAGGAAGTCAGTGATGGGCAAACCTGTAAAATTTCCAAAGTGTGGCACTCTCCCTACATGGAGTCATGGGAGCTTCACATAATTAGTAGAACAGGTATCTTGATTTCCCCAGGAAAAGCAATGTAATGGTTGTTCTCCAATAGTCAAACTTGTTATTGTTTTTCTATATGCCACTAGCCGAAAACAATTCAGACTAGATTTTATTTTTAAGCTCTAGCTAAGATGGGCTTAGCGCCTGGTGGAAATAGGCATCTGGGATTCTTTACCTTCTATATCTGCCTTTTCCTTGGCAAACTCCCTCCTTACCTCTGTCTCTCAGAGCTTTACCTCCCATGATTAATCTGCCATTTGTGTTGGTAACTGTTAAGATGCTGGTGTTAGCTAGGAGGCAGAACGTAGTCAGGATTGGAAAATATGAAGCTCTTGTGCCATCCCATTTAACACCTCCTTACTTTTTTCTTTTTTTTAAATTGATTTTGAGAGAGAGAGAGGAAAGGAAAGGGAGAGAGAGATAGAAACATCAAGGAGAGAGAAACATCAATCCTGCATGCCTCCCACCGGGGATGGAGCCCACAACCCAGACATGTGCCCTGACTATGAATCGAACTGTCAAACTCTTGGCGCATGAGTCAGCACTCAACCACTGAGCCACACCAGCTGGGCCCTCCCCTTAACTTTTGACATCACTAATTCCACACAGACAAGGCCCTCTGGACATCATTTGATCTAACTTCCCTCCCTCCCTACTACAGGAGAAATTCTCTCCACAGCAGCCCTAAAATACATGAGGCAGTTTCTCTCTTAAGAGGCAGCCTGTTCCATTTTTGGATTATTATAGTGTTTATCACACAGTAACCTACTACCATGTCATTTACTTAGTGGCTCCTCTCTGACTATATAGAATGAGTTTAATCCCTCTTCACATGCTCCCAAACAGCTATTTTCCCCACTACAATGTTGTATTTTCTGGTAACCTTCCCATTCTCTTCAGGAATTAGGTTTCTGTTCCATTCCTTTAGTCAATTAAACAACAAACATTTATTGAACATCTATCCAGTGCTAGACATTTTGGTAGACTTAGTGTGGGGAGCACAGGAAGTATCATAGTCTAATAGGAGAGAGACCTTCCTAAAATAAACAATCCGATATAATAAAAGGCTAATATGCAAACTGACCGAACGGCAGAACAAACGGTCGCTTTGACACGCACTGACCACCAGGGGGCAGACACTCAATGCAGGAGCTGCTCCCTGGTGGTCAGTGCACTCCCACAGGGGGAGTGCTGCTCAGCCAGAAGCCGGGCTCACTGCTGATGAGTGCAGTGGTGGTGGCGGGAGCCTCTTCTGCCTCTGCGGCAGTACCAAGGATGTCCGACTAATGACTTAGGCCTGCTCCAGTTGGACATCCCCCGAGGGCTCCTGGACTGCGAGAGGGCGCAGGCCGGGCTGAAGGCTGCCCCCGAGTGCACAAATGTCGTGCATCAGGCGTCTAGAGCAGTGATGGCGAACCTTTTGAGCTCGGCGTGTCAGCATTTTGAAAAACCCTAACTTAACTCTGGTGCCGTGTCACATATAGAAATTTTTTGATATTTGCAACCATAGTAAAAGAAAGATTTATATTTTTGATATTTATTTTATATATTTAAATGCCATTTAACAAAGAAAAATCAACCAAAAAAGTGAGTTTGCGTGTCACCTCTGACACGCATGTCATAGGTTCGCCATCACTGCTCTAGAGTCTCATAAAGATGGGTATATAGTTGAGTGCTGTGGCAGTCTGGAGGAAGAAGTAAATGATTTTTCCTGAAGGAATCTTGGAGGCCCTTATAGAGAATGGCTATTCAGTTGGATCATGAAAAATATTCATGAATGCCGTAACCGGTTTGGCTCAGTGGATGGAGCGTCAGCCTGCGGACTCAAGGGTCCCGGGTTCAATTCCGGTAAAGGGCACGTACCTTGGTTGTGGGCACATCCCCAGTAGGGGGTGTGCAGGAGGCAGCTGATTGATGCTTCTCTCTCATCAATGTTTCTAACTTTCTATCCCTCTCCCTTCCTCTCTGTAAAAAAAATCAGTAAAATATATTTTTAAAAAATATTCATGAGTTTGCAAGGCAGAGATTGAAGGAAAGAGCAAAGTCATGAAGATATAATAGTCTGGGACTGCAAATGGTTAGTTGTGGTGGGAGTGCCAAGTGGTTGGTTTGGAAGTATTGGAAGAAGAGTCTGGAGAGGCTGTGAAAGGCCAATCATGAAAGGTCACAAATGCTGTGTAATGAACTGTAGTGATAGGGAGTCACTGGACATTTAAGCAGGGAGCATATTGAAATTTGTTTTTGTAGAAAGGTGTCAAGGTAGAGGGTGATTAGGGAGGGTTAGGCTGGATACCTGGAAAGAAGTGGTGTTTGTGGGAAGTCAGATGAGAGAAAGGTAAGGGTCTAAATTGGCAGTAGAGATGGAGAGGAGAAAATGTATTTAAGAAATACTCAATTTTCTGATAACCTCCTTCTAAAATAGAAGATGTTTATTTGCTCTCCTCAGAGTAGATTTATACAAGGGTTAGGCCTAGTCCTTCATAAAGATTGTCAAATATAACAAGAAACATTGACTGATTTGTAAAATGCATTGTATTGCAGGTCAACATATCTCAAGCTGACATGCAAGCCATTGGCAATACCATCACAATGGTAACGCAGGATGGCACACCCATCACAGTCCCTGCTCATGATGCAGTCATCTCCTCAGCAGGGACACACTCAGTTGCTATGGTAACTGCTGAGGGTACAGAAGGGCAGCAGGTAATTGCTTTTTTTCTTCTTTTATATCAATCAAAACATGTCAATATCAAAATTGTTAATAGATGTACAGTGTGATATAGCAGTTAAGCACAGAAACTTCAAATTGATCCCAGTTTTACAGTTTCTAAGTTACATAACCCTCTGAGTCTGTTTTCATCGTCTGTAAAATAGGAGTGTTGCATCTGGCACATAAGACTGACATAAGGATTGATTGAGATAGCGCATTTAAACTACTCAGCCCATTAAGTGTTCATTAATGATAGCTCTTCCTACAATCATCATCATCCTCAGACTCTTAGGGGAAAATTCATTTGCAAAATTTAGTTTATTTAATTTTTTGAATATGTAATATATTCACATAGTTCAAAAATCAGAATGTATATACAGGTATGCATTGAAAAATCTTCCTTCTGGCACTCTCCCTTCCAGGAGTCCAGGAATACACCCGTGCCTTCCCCTTTCCCTCACGCCCCCCACCCTTCACCATTCGCTTCCTCACTCCCAAGTTCCAAATTCCCTTCCTTTACCTCCATAACTTGTTTCCTAAGCCCATTTCTTCTAGGAATTACTTTTTCTGCCTCTGTAATTTACCCAATATATGTTCTCTTACAAAAAAAAAAGTCTTCCCACCCCTGCCTCCATCAACCTTGTTCTTGCCCCGTAGAGATAATCCACATTTATTGGTTTCTCATGTATTCTTTCAATGATTCATGAAGCATATACAAACAGATACAGTCATTTTCCCCATTTCCTTTTTTTATGGTAGTAAACTGTTCTTTACCTTGTTGGTTTTTTAATTTACTAACATATTTAGAAAGTCTATTTCATTATATAGAGAGCTTCCTCATTCTTTTTTTAATCTATATTGTATTCCACTGTATGGGTATGCCATAATTCATTTGGTTTTTGCTGTTTCAAACAGCACATAACCTTGTGCACATGTGATTTTGCATGTGTATGAGTATATCTTGTAGGTAAATCCCTAGAGTGGAATTGGTGGGTAAAAAGATATATGGGTTTGCAATTGTAATGTGTTGCCCAACTTCCCTTCTAGGGTTGTGCCACTCTATATTCCTGCCGGCAGTATTTGAGAGTGCCAAGCTACTCTTCCCTTTTTTTCCCTGTGGGAAAAAAATCCTTTTGGATTTTTGTCAATCTGATGTATCTCTTTGTAGTTCTAATTTTTTCATTTTCATTAAAATACATGATATTGATTAATACATTTAAAAACTATTCTTGTACAGTGCTGAAGGCAATGTTAAGTTTCACTGCAGTGAGAGTCTGTCTTAATTAGTAGCTCTCATTCTTCGTAAATTCATTTGTAGATTTCAATACCATCATAATAAAAATTTCAGCAGACTTTTTTGATGATATAGATAATCCAGTTCTAAAATTTACCTGAAAATGCAAAGGACCTATAAAAGCCAAAACAATATTGAAAAAAGAACAAAGTTGAAGTTCTTCTACACCTTGAAATACAAAACTCAGAATCTTAAAGCTTCTGAAGAATTGAGTATTTTTGCAGCTTTAGAGAAAAGATTTCTTAAGATACAGAATGTACTAACAAAAGAGAAAACTGACCAATTGGACTTCATCAAAATTAATTCTGCTCACCAAAATATATCACTAAAAAAAAAGTGCCAAACTGGGAAAAAGTTAGTCACAGTATTTATATATCTGACAGTGAACTTGTATTGGAAATATATAAGAAACCCTCTACAAATCAATAATAAAAACATGAACAGCCCATTAAAAATGAGCAGAATAAATAAATAAAGTTTTTAAAAAGAGCACATTTGATTGCTTATTTAACAGACCCCTTACAAAAGAAGATGACTGGCAATAACACAAAAAGTACTTAACATCTTTAGTCATTAAAGAAGAGCAAATTAAAATCACAGTGAGATACCTTTCAGACACAGGAAAATGGCTAAAATAAAAGAAGACTTAAAACCAAATGTTGGCAAAGATGTGAAGTAACTAGAACATTCATATACACTAGTGGGAGTGTAAAATGATACCACCACTTAGAAGAACAGTTTAGCAGTTTCTTATAAAGTCGAACATACCTCTGCTCTTTGACCCAGAAATTCCACTAGAATTCATACTGTATGGTTCCACTTGTATGAAATCCAAGAGCAGACAAAACAAATCCATGCCATAGAAATCAGAAAGTTCTGCTTGGCTTGGGAAGGACATTGATGGCATGGAATATGAAGGAACTGTACTATATCTTGTTTTAGGTGCCAGTTTCACAGATTATCTGTCAAAACGCAATAGAGCACCTAAGATGGGTACTTATATATTGTTTGCTAATTATACCTTATGCAAAAAACACACAAAACAATACAACTTTCAGGCTGTCTTATAGAATGGTCCCACCTAATCAGTTTGCAGCCATTTCCATGGCTCTAGAATACTGGGTTGGGTTTATAACTCAGCTTGGGTAAATATACCTTGTACTAATTACAGTTGCAGGTCTGGAAAGATAGTGACCCTAAAGCAAACATTCTTATGCAGCTTATCTGTAGCCTGTGGGCTAGGACAATTCTCTGGAGAGATAGGAAAATTCTCAGAAGACAAGGCTTTGAGGGCTGGAATGAAATCAGTCTGCTTCCAGCACTGGGGATATCACAAGGGTGGGAGGTTTTACGTGAGAACCAGCTACTGCCATTGCTTCTCTGCTGCAGCTGTAAGCCATTGTGCAGATGTTGATGATCCACTTGGGGTGTTCAGACTCCACCTGTGGATTATCTGAAGGGTAGGCTTTAGCATTATTTGTAGTCCAGACCCTCTAACTTGGCAGGATAGAAACTAAATGTTGTCTCTCCTGTGGTGAGTGTTGCTGAAATCTCCGCTTTTTCAGACTTCCAGCTGCTGCTTTCTACCAGAATTATTGGAACTTACCGATACACTGGCAGTTCTGGTGTCTTAAGGAATTGGGGAGAGTTTATACACAGATTTGGGGGGGGTCCCCCTCTGGTTTTCTCCTTTCTAGAATATTCCTCCCAATGTATAACCATTCTGGCAGCCCTAGACTCCATTATCTCATACGTTAAGTTGCCCTGTGCTGCGCAGACTGGGGAATGGTCTCAGTGAAAAAGCTATTTCAGCAGAGATGTGAACCAACATGATTTCCTTTCTTTGAGAATCCCCTGCAGTTTCTGCCTGCTTTTCCTCATTCTTCAATGCCTTCGACAGTTGCTTTTTCCTATTTTTGTCCACAGTTTATGATAGTTATCTGCAGGATGGGTTAGTCCGATATAAATCACTGCCCTTGCTGGGCCAAACTCTGTTACTAGATTATGAAACATTGCTGGGATTGATCCAGCTTAGCATTTTAGTGGACTAGTGGCCAAGAAAAACAGAAATTTTAGTTTTTAATATATTCTTCCTCTGAGTTTGGCTGAGCAAAATTTTAGAATATCATATAACAGAAGTATTTGATGCCATTTTCCATGTTATCTACATAGGAAGAGTTACATTTGTGGTTTAAGAGCCATGAAAGCACTTTTAACCACTCTGGATAGATGCTTCAGCAACAATATGCAAAGATTCCATGGCATCTAAAATAGGAAATGAGTATAACAAGATATGTTGCTATTTGTCAGTAATGCTACTGGTCCTTTCAGTTTTCCTGGAGTCTAATGAAAAGGTAACGGGTAAACAGGAGAAAACAGTATATTATCGACCACTGCTCCAAACTTGGAAGTAGACATTTGATGTTTGAATTATTCCACATGTGTAACTTTCCAAGCATCCACTTAGGGTAATAGAACCCAGACACAGTCATGTCTCCCCTGAGTAATAGAGTCAGTGATAGGATCCACTTCTCCAGTATCCTCTACCCTGATATACCATTGCCTCACTCCATAATCTTGGATAAATCCCTTCTTTCTGAGCCTCGGTATTCTCAAAAGAGGAGTCCAGAACAGACAATATATAAGGAAGGTCTCTTCAGCTTCAGGCTTCTGCAGCTCTGTGGTCAGAAGGGAGTTTTTCCTTTTGAATTTGAAGACAATCCTTTTCCTTGAATGGATTTTAACCTATTTAAATCATAATTTTTTTTAGCCCTAGCTGGTTTGGCTCAGTGGATAGAGCATTGGCCTGCAGACTGAAGGGTCCCAGGTTCAATTCCAGTCAAGGGCATATGCCCAGGTTGCAGGCTCAATCCCCAGTAAGGGGTGTGCAGGAAGCAGCCAATCCATGATTCTCTCTCATCATTGATGTTTCTATCTCTCTCTTCCTCCCTCTCCCTTCCTCTCTGAAATTAACAAAAATATATATGTATTTTTTAAATCATAGTTTTAATTCTTTTGTGTATTTTTTGGTTAAGGTTGCAATTGTGGCTCAGGACTTGGCAGCATTCCACACTGCCTCATCAGAAATGGGGCACCAGCAGCACAGCCATCACTTAGTAACCACAGAAACCAGACCTCTGACCTTAGTGGCAACATCCAATGGTACCCAGATTGCAGTTCAGGTGAGTCCAGAGGCAGCTGTCTTCCGTCAACAGCAGCACTACACATACCTCTCAACCTTGGACACTGTGCTTTATGCATAACCGTTACAGGAGGCGGGACACAGAATAATCTGTGTCACTTTAAGGAAATTGCTGTGTTCACGTAGATTCAAAGAGACCAACACTTTGTTCTTTACTAACTTTGCATATTCTAGGGGAATTTTTAGTGAGAAAAATAAAGCTTCTAGTATGTATCCCATATACATCAAGCCAGCTATCTTAACTCTCAGAAAAAAAGTCTAATTAGGCCCTAGCTGGTTTGGCTCAGTGGATAGAGCATCAGCCTGCAGACCAAAGGGTACTGGGTTCGATTCTGATCTAGGGCATGTACCTGGGTTGTAGGCTCCTCCCTGGCCCAGGCCCTGGTTGGGGCTCATGCAGGAGGCAACCAATCAATGCGTTTCTCTCACATCGACATTTCTCTCTGTCTTTCCCTCTCCTTAACTCTAAAAATCAATGGAAAAATATCCTCAGTTGAAGATTAAAAAAGAACACACTGATGAAAATTCCAGCCATTGGTTCTAATTTAGCTTATGGGCATAGAAGCTAAAGGCTCAGGAAGCGCTCCAAATTATCTCCCTTGGAAAAGATGACTGTCTTTGTCCCTTGCATGTGCAAAAGTTTATCAAAATCCTAAATAAAGAAACTGTATTATTCTCCCCTGTAAGAATTGGGTTTGTTTTTGTTTTTATTTTCTCTTACTGAAAGGATCAAGTGGAGGTTGCTTAACAAGCCCAGGTGCCAGAAATCCCACTTCTGGCATATAAGATTCCTTTGGCATTATCTTGATTGTGGGTTTGTGTATGTTCCTGTTTCAGCTTGGAGAACAGCCATCTCTGGAAGAAGCCATCAGAATAGCATCCAGGATCCAACAAGGAGAAACACCAGGGCTGGATGACTAATCCCAAGAGCAATAAAGCCAGGGAGCCTTTCATCTTCAGGCAGCAGAGCTCCAGGAAGCCCGGGGCCCAGGAAAATGATAACTTTTCCATTCCTCAACACTGTACACATTTTTATGCAAGAGTGGAGAACATTTTATTCTTGACACTTTTGTGTATATAACCCTTGGAATAGATTTCCAAATTGATTCATTGTGTACAAGGAAGTATGAAATTAGGGCAATCCAGTAAATTTTCACATTACTCTTTTATCACATTGCAGACTCCTAGAGTCTTTATGTAAGACAGTGAAGTCTTACCGAGACTTAGGGTGGATTTTTAACTTACTGTGAAAAAAAAACCACACAAATAAAGGCTATATCTAAAATATCAAAGGTTCTATATGTCACACAATCATAATTCCAAAAGCCATCATGGATAATAAAGAATGTAAAGCCTGTAAATATTTCCCCTGGTTAGTAGAGTGTCTGCAGCTTTTGTTCTACTGTATATTTGTCTGTTTTTACTTTTGTCTCATGGTTTGAAGACTGTTCATTAAGGCTTCCATTCCTGTTAATTACCAGCTCTTCAAGCTGAAATGCTAATTATATTAGCACTACATTGGATTATGTATAAAATTACAAAGTTTGGTTACTTAAAATTAAAAAGCTAAATCCAGTACTTTGGTTTTGTTAAAGACTTTACTTAGTGTTCATGTTTTTGTTACTGTTTTAAAAAAAAAAAATAATGCACTATCAAAGTTTGACCACAATCTGGAGCCCAGATAACAGTGGCTTTACTCTGAAAATAAGGTTAGTGGGTTGGTGTAAATTATTTATTTTTTTGCTTATGTACTTTTATTTTAAAGCTTATTTACCCTAAAGTTTATTATTTTGAATACAGCAATTTTTAAAATGTTACCTTTATATTTGTTTTATTAAATTGGTATGGGGGGTGGGGGGAACTGTTACAGAAAATACCACAAATGTAATAGATTATAACCCAACACACATGATTGAGAGTACATTGTAGATCAAGCACCGAATAAGTACTATTCTATACATTTTTATGTACTCATAACAGTTTTGTGAGATATATGGGATTTACAATGCCATATTTGTACAGGAGGAAAGTGAAGTTCCAAAGAAGTTAAGTGTCTTACCCAGGCCTATAGCTGTGAAGGGGCAGAGCAAGGACTTGAGAACCCAGACTTTCTGACTCCCAAATCCAGTGTGTATTTCACCACGCCACAGCTGCCTTCTCAGATGATAATTTATGGCAAAGATGATCAAGATGAGCTTTGGTTTCTGGTTACCTAATGATCTGAGCACTTGGAAAACCATCTCTAATGTCAGAAATTCAGCTAAAGATTAAAAAAAGGGGGAGGGAGTGGAGGGTTGTCCTGCAACAATCACTTGGTCGCTGTCATTCTCCATGCTTTGTTTGCCAGAGAGCTGACATGTGGCTGGTTTTCATTTCCAGCTTTACAATAAAAAAGGAAAAAATGTCAGGCTGTTTTATTTCATGCTAGAGGCCCCGTGCACAGACTCGTGCACATTGAAAATAAATTAGTTAGAAGGTGGCCGGTGGAGCGAGACTGGGCAAGACAGGCCAGACACATCCTGGAGCCAACCTTCGGCGATCCCTCCCCAGCTGGTGCCAGGGCTCGAAGGGCGTCTGCGGAGTGAGCAGGGTCCCTCGGCCTGGTCTGTGGGGATCCTGCAGAAACCAGCAGTCTGACATCCCCTGAAGGGTCCCAGAGTGGAAGAGGGCACTCTGCAAAGTTGCTGTGGCTCTGCAGCTCCAGGATTGAGTGTCTGCCCCCCTGGTGGTCAGTGCACATCATAGCTACCAGCTGGTCACTTGCTTAGACTTTCACATATATAGATGAGTGTTATCTTGGATCAGGTTCTTTGAAGTCTTAATGAAAAAGGGTCATGACTTAGTCATTTGAAATGGGAAACCTTTCTGAGTTGGGCAGGGCATTGGTGGCTTGCCCTTCAAAGCTGTTCGTAGATACATAACACTAGAAAAGGTCTTAGTCACCCGCAGATCCAGTCTTCATTCTTGACAGGGACATTTAAACATGCTGAGAACTCCCAGATGAGGCCTGCTGAGGCTCAGAAAGGGGCCTCAGGCGGTGAGCAGGAGAACAGAATCTGGGAAGTCCCAGGGCGGAGCACCAGCCTCCCAGTCCCTGTCCTGCCAATAGGGAGCTCCTGGGCTGGGCCCACCAGCCCATCTGTGCTTCCCAAGACCCAAACCCAAGCTATCGACTTCCCTGGGCCTCTCACAGCTCCTTTGCCGGCTGGACTCTGCTGGTGGACCTGATTATCCCCCAGCTCAAAAGAAAAAGCCTTCCTACTGGCACCAGAGGAAAGTGCAGAGTGGTGCTGTTGGTTGGTCCCCTCCCTGCCTTCCTGGCAATGGGACCTCAGGAGGGGGCAGGATTTCCCCAAGGACAGACTCCAGCTGATGAGCTGACAGTTGTTAGTTAGTGAGGCTGGTGTAGGTTTCACAGTGCAGGATGCCGGAAGGAGCCCTCCAAAGTTGAAGTCCCCCAAAGGCACTTGATGAAACAAGAGTACACTTTAGCAAAAGGAGCCGGTAGGAGAATAACTGCAATACAATCCAGACAATGGTCAAGGCAAATCTTTCAGTCCAAGAAAAACACTCTATCCCAGACACAGCTCTGGGCCACTACAAAGGAAAGAATTTAGAAAATAACACTAGCTGTGTTGGCTCAGTGGATAGAGCGTCAGCCTGCGGACTGAAGAGTCCCAGGTTTGGTTCCGGTCAAGGGCACATGCCTGGATTGCAGGCTCGATCCCCAATGGGGGACGTGCAGGAGGCAGCCGATCAATGATTCTCTCTCATCATTGGTGTTTCTATCTTTCTCTCCCTCTCCCTTCGTCTCTAAAATCAATAAAAATATATTAAAAGAAAAAAGAGGAAATAGGATAAAATGAGGGATTGGCTTCCTTAATCCTCTACCGGTGGCAGCTGCCCAGGGGACCACATCACTCCCTAACTACCCCCAACTCGGCCACCCTCCATCAGGAGCAAACTAACTGGACAGTCTCTCATGCTGCTTTCCTGTGTGGCAGCCCTGGGACTGGGACTAGGTAAGTACCTTAGGAAACCAGGCACTAAGCACTGAAATAGACTAGATTTCCATGTATCATCCCAAGGAATTTTGGGTCCAGCATTTCCTGGCTCAGATGTGATTGTAGACCAATCAAGTGTCAGCAGACCCCAACAGTGAGAGGGGACAGTGAAAAGGAAAGGGCACAGCTGAAGTCTGTTGTCAGGAGGGAAAGGTGGAGAAGGCTGCCTCAGCCCCCTCTGCTGTAGCACTTTCTATACTTAGATTTCCTTTAGGGATGAGGAGATCTTTCAAACAATACTTTGTGTGTGTGTGTGTGTGTGTGTGTGTGTGTGTGTGTGTGTGTGTGTGTGTGTTTTCCAGAGAGAGAGGGAGAGGGAGAAAAAGAACCATCAATGATGAGAATCATTGATCAGCTGCCTCCTGCATGCCCACACTGAGGATCAAGCCCACAACCCGGGCATGTGACCTCACCTGGAATCGAACTGTGGCCTCCTGGTTCATGACTCAATGCTCAACCACTGAGACACACTGACAGGGCCAAATACCCTCCTTTCTTGTGCCTGAGGAACAGGGCTGGCGTCATGGATGTGTGACCAGTACAGTTGAACAAGACCCTGCACTCTGGCCCTGACCAGCTTGGCTCAGTGGTAGAGCGTTGGCCTGCGGACTGAAGGGTCCCAGGTTCGATTCCAGTCAAGGGCATGTACCTTGGTTGCGGGCACATCCCCAGTGGGGGGTGTGCAGGAGGCAGCTGATCGATGTTTCTAACTCTCTATCCTCCCTTCCTCTCTGTAAAAAAAAAATCAGTAAAATTTATTTAAAAAAAAAAAAAAAGACCCTGCACTTTGAAGGGCCCTGCACTTGGGAGTTAATGCACTGGAGTTGAAGTCTTGAAATTCTTAATCATCTTATCTGTGAATCTGTGTTCTGTAAGTGAAGTCTCAAGGAACAATGAATGGAGCAGGAACTGGGGGCTTGGAGCCTGGACTTAGTCCCACCCCCTGTGGCCTGTCTCAATGAGTTCTCTTCTCCATGCTGCTTCCCTGCCTGGCCTCCCCATGCTTGCCCTCCCCCTGTGACTGCTGCTGTGCCTTCTGCCTTTGGCAGGGGCCTGGGTGCCAGTGCAGGAGGGTCAGTGACAGACGCATACACCCTGTGGAGGTTGGTGCCCATGGTGGTGGCCATTCTTGCCCTAGGTTGGCAGTACCATAGTGTTCCTGGTGGGTGGCCGACTTTAGCTGAGTCTTGACAGGAGCAAGCCTCTTGCCTATCCCAGCTCTGAGTTTTGAAGATACCTGGGAGTAGCCCATTTACTGTGGGCTGGGGTGGCAGTCCTGTGGGAAGGGGTGAGGGGATTTGTCGGCCCAAGAGAGCGCCTGCCCCAAGCACCTTGAGGGCCCAGGCCCTCAGAAACTCTTTCCCCAGGCTTGTGCCAGGAGGACCCTCGCTTCCTCCCTCCTCCTTTCCTGGGCCAGCTCCAGGTACCCTCCCTTCCTGGAATGAGCCACAGAATTCCAATTGCATCATTTCAGTGATCCCCAAATACAAGTTACACACTCTGATAGTTTCATTTAAAATTGGCATTGCATAATAGAAATATGAAGGATAACATTCATACTAAAGTTCTTTAATTTTTCTTAGAATGATGTTAAATAGCAAATTAAAACACCATGAGAAGTAGTGTGTGTGTGTGTGTGTGTGTGTGTGTGTGTGCGCGCGCGCGCGCGCAGAGGGGTGTGAAGGGTTTTGAGTTCAGTGTCATTAGGTACGTTAACATTGTTGAGCAAATATCACTACTCACCAGCTAAAGAACTTTTTCAAACAATAACTCCCCATCACCCCTCCCCCAGCCCTGCAGCCACCTTTCCATTCTCTATGAATCTGCCAAGTACCTCGTATAAATGTCTTTGTGTATCTGACTTTATGTATGCATTTAACCACACTTTTTTGGAGACAGAGAGAGAAACATCAATCTGCTGTTCACTTATTTTTGCATTCATTGGTTGTTTCTTGTATGTGCCCTGACCAGGGATCGAGCCCACAATCTTGGCGTATTAGGACAATGCTCCAAGCAGCCGAGCTAACCAGCCAGGACCTCACAGCACTGTTTTTCCTGCTTTTTGACCAAGAGGCCCCACATTTCCTTTTTGACTGAGCCTCACAGATTGTGTAGCCTGCCCTGCTGAAAAAAGCCCTTCTCGCCCTTCTCGCCCTAACCAGTTTGGCTCTGTGGATAGAGCATAGGCCTGCAGACTAAAGAGTCCCAGGTTCGATTCCGGTCAAGGGCATGTACCTTGATTGTGGGCACATCCCTAGTGTGTGTGTGTGTTGGGGGGGGGGGAACCAGCTGATTGATGTTTCTCTCTCATCGATGTTTCTGACTCTCTATCCCTCTCCCTTCCTCTCTGTAAAATAATCAATAAAATATATTTAAAAAAAAAAAAGCCCTTCTCTTCTCACTGTCACACAGCAGGTGTGACTTGTATTTTAGGAACATAGCATCTGCTTTTCCCTTTTAGATTGTGGGGTCTCTTAGGATAAGGGAGAATTCCACTTCCCCATAACTCCTGGTGACCTGGCAGAGCAGCAGGTCACCTCTAGCTGTTCCCTCTGGCTCTAAACTCCCCTGGCTTGAGAGGTACAGAGAATCTCCATGCGGGATTTCAAGTGTTTCTAGAGCACAGCTAAACTTGAAGGACAGAATGTCATGCTGAGAGTAGACTTACTCAAGATTCAGGCTAATTGCATGAATAGCTAAAATGTGAATTATCTAGCAAAATGCCCCCCCGACCCTACTTTCTGCATTCAAGTGAAAGAAAATGGGATTCCTGTTCTAATGTCAATCCCAAATTTCTCCCTAGTTTGCCTCCCCTCCGCAGGGTTCCTCTGGACACACAGCTCCTAGCACTTCACTAATCTGCCCCGAAGCCCTGGCTCAGATAGGAGCCTGAGAAAGGGATGTGGAAAACAGCTCTAATCTGGATTACAGACTCTGGCGGTGCCACCCAGATAAATTCTGCAGTTTCTCTGGAAAAAGCAAAAACTAAAATCTGCAAGAGGGTTGCCTTATCTTTGTAAGTAAGAAGCTTTTGCTCTAAGCCAGTGACTGACAGGGCTTTGGGGCAGGGCAATATGTCCCAGTTTGGAAGCAGCTCTTAAATTCACCAGATCTTACGCAGATAAAACTCAACTGGCAAGTGGTGGTTCCCCACCCCACCTCCACTGCCTTAGGGCTTTTCTAGCATCCTGAAATTGCTTACTGTTCTTTTCAATAGGAACTCAGGAACACCAGAAAAGTGAACCACTTTTTTTCTGCATATGTGATCTTCACTATTGTGAAGCTGGGGAAACCTTGTGGGTATTTCAAAGTAAATTTAAAAAAAAAGGGGGGGGGGTACTAAATGAATGAGAGGCATTATTGGTGAGCCTGGGAGTCAGCCACCAGCAGGAGGTGCTGTGTAGGTTTAGGGAGCAATCCACAGCTACACACTGCTTGCTTACGGTGTCCTAGAATCTAGAACAAGTTAGCCAGCTGTGCCTGGGAAGGGCAACCTTTTCTCTCATCTTGAAGGATATCATTTCATCCTGGGAGAAAACAATGTGAGGGACTAACAGGGGTGGGCAAACTTTTTGACTCCAGAAAGTCCTGAACCTGCATGTACTCCTCTAGGGTGAGTGAGAGTGCCTGATTGTAGCCATCCATGCCAAACTAAAAGGAACGAAAGTAATATTTGCAAATCTGATAAGATAAAAATGGTATTGCATTGCTATTTTAATTTGCATTTATTTGCTACTGAGATTTAATATTTTCTCATGTTTAAGGCCACTTAATTTATATTTATCTTGTGATTTACATGTTCATGTATTTTCATATTTTATTTTTACTGATTTTACCAATTATTTTAATATTAAGGATATTAACTCATGGTATATACTACATATATTTCCCTCAGCTTGTCATTTATCTTTTTACTTTATTGTCTACCTCAGATAAACATTTTATTTTTACTTTTAGTATATTTTTATTGATTTCAGAGAGGAAGGGAGAGGGAGCGAGAGATGGAAACATCAAAGATGAGAGAAAAATCACTGATTGGCTACCTCCTGTACACCTCCTATTGCAACCTGGGCATGTGCCCTTGACCGGAATTGAACCGACCCTTCAGTCAGCAGGCTGACGCTCTATCCACTGAACCAAACCGGCTAGGGCAGATAAACATTTTAAATAATTTAATGTAGTGAAATGTATTAGCTTTAAACAATTTTTTTTTATTTGTGGTATTATTCTGAGAACAATCTTCCCTCAGCAAGATTAAGATAAAAACTATTGTGTGGTCTTCTACTTCTTTTATGATGTCATTATTTTACTTAAATCTTTACTCAGTCTGGAATTTATTGTTACCTATATATATAAAAGCCTAAGCGACTGGCCGACCGGCTGGTAGCTATGATATACACTGACCAGCGGGGACAGACACTCAACACAGGAGTGGAAACCACAGACATGGAAACATAGAACAGACTGATTAAATTCAGAAGGGGGAGGGCAAGAAGAGATTAACCAAAGATCTTATATGCATTCTAGAGGCCTGGTACACGGATGTGTGCAACTGGTGGGGTCCCTCAGCCTGGCCGGTGGGGATCGGGCCAAAACGGCTCTCCGACATCCCCCGAGGGTTTCCAGATTGCGAGAGGGCGCAGACCAGGCCGAGGGACCCCACCTGATCATGAATCCATGCATTGGGCCTCTAGTAAAATAATGATAACAGTTAATATTTTTGAGTCCATACTATTATGCCAGACACATGCTTTACAAGTACTGACTCTAATACTTTCAACAGACCTGTGATGTAGGCACTGTTATTTTACATGCTAGTTCAGGGGTGGGCAAACTTTTTGACTCGAGGGCCACAATGGGTTCTTAAACTGGACCAGAGGGCCGGAACAAAAGCATGGATGGAGTGTTTGTGTGAACTAATATAAATTCAAAGTAAACATCATTACATAAAAGGGTACGGTCTTTTTTTTTTTAGTTTTATTCATTCCAAACGGGCCGGATCCGGCCCGCGGGCCGTAGTTTGCCCACGGCTGGACTAGAAGGACCCTGACTGCCTCCTCTGGGATGACACTAAGGAGGAAATAAATGCCCACACCAGACCTGGGAAACTAGTTTTGTTTCCTTGCCCAATCTGCCAGCCATTTTTGGCTTTATAACCAGTGTTGACCAAAGGGCACATCAGATTCAGTCCTAAAAGGCCAGTTGCAATCCTTGCGAGTGGAAGGTACTGGGAGCTAAATATCATGATCACGCATGTACTTACCATCCTAAGCCCCAGCAATATTCAACACTCCTGATGGACAGGACGATGGCAGTATTCTGCATCACACTCTACAGTCCCAGGGGGAGGGCTACAGGGCCACCTTCCTCCATCCCCACAGGGAAAGTCACTTGCTCACACAAAGGCAGGCCCAGTCCAGGGCCGCAGTGTCAACGCTGATGGACGGCAGCAGGACTCCAACAGCTCCTATCCCATGTGCTTAGACTGCAGCCTTTGCTGCCCTGCTGTGGATCCAAGTCTAATAAGTGGACTCTGACTTTGTTCCCGGGGATGGCTTCGGAAGGGAGTGGCCCACTAGAGGGGAAACCCCATCCCTGTTCTGGTGCTCCATGTCCCTTCCATTCATTAGCATTGGAGTTGGACCTCTTTCAGGAGCAAGGTAGTCTACAGAGAAGTCATACCACAGACGTCCAGGCCCCTAGGAGATGGCGGCCAGGATCTTTTACTCAGAGATTAGTTCATTCATGAAAAGGCACCGAAAGGCCTCCATCCATACTGGCGGCTCTCGTGTATCAAATGACCCGTTGGCATTTCACTTTTAAAAATATATATATATATTTTAAATTGATTTCAGAGAGGAAGGGAGAGGGAGAGAGAGAGAGGAACATCAACAATGAGAGAGAATCATTGATCAGCTGCCTCCTGCACACCCCCCACAGGAATCGAACCGTAACCTCCTGGTTCATAGGTTGACACTCAACCACTGAGCCACGCTGGCCAGGCGGCATTTCACTTTTGACAAAGATTTCCACAGATTCCTGTTCTTTCTGGCCCCTGAGTTTAGATTTCCAGTACATGCAGATGCTCTGGCTGGATAGCCACCCTCTTTTTGTCACAAGGGTCTTTCCGGGCAGGAGGGAGGGCACCCTGTCAGGGAGGACTCAAACAATGGCCAGGAAGTGACTTTCTGCTGCAGATGCACTTCCCCCTGCCACTGTGGGCCTGTGATACTTGGCTTGCAGCCCCCACAGTGGGAAGGCACACAGCCCTCCGTACCCACTCACCCCCTAGGGCGCTATTTTAATCATGCTGTGTGCCTGCTCTCCTCTCTTCCTGTTAGAGATGAAGAGAACAGGGCCCACCTACTTCATTTTTAAAATTTATTTTTACTTTATTTTTTAATCCTCACACGAGGATATGATTTCCATCAATTTTACAGGGAAGGAGAGGGGGGAGAGGGGGAAAGAAAGAGAGAGAGAGAGAGAGACATCCGTTGGTTGTCTCCCATACGTGTCCTGACGGATGGAAACCGAAACCTAAGTTTGTGCCCTGAGGGGGAATTAAACCTGAAACCTTTTTGGTGCACTGGTCCACGCTCCAACCAACCAAGCCACCCAGCCAAGGCCACCTACTTAATTTTTGACTGGGGAATTATTGACTTTGAAAATAGAAATATAAATGAGGCTGTATGTCAACGGTAAAAGGTTCATAACTCTTATTTTATTTATTCTTTTCCAGTCAACAGAAAGGCAAATTTTATTGGGGCCCCAGGGTCACAGGGTTCTGGCAAAAGGCCACCCTGCACCGAGGAAGTGGTGGAGGGGCCTTATTTAATGTCCTTGGGGCGCAGGTTGTTGGTGTGGCCACACTTCTTGCAGCAGTTGGCAGCGTGGGGGGGTGCAGACAGCCCCGAGCGGGCAGAGGGAGGGCTCCATGATGCCCCCACGCAGACGAGGCACCAAGTGCAGGGTGGACTCTTTCTGAATATTGTAGTCTGAGAGAGTGCGGCCATCCTCCAGCTGTTTGCCGGCAAAAATCAGGCGCTGCTGGTCAGGCGGGATGCCCTCCCGGTCTTGGATTTTAGCTTTGACACTCTCAGTGGTGTCACTGGGTTCGACCTCGAGGGTGATGGTCTTGCCAGTCAGGGTCTTCACGAAGATCTGCATCTCTGCGTCTGCTCCTTGCCTTCTGGAAGAGAAAGAGCACATAACTCATTCAAAAAACCAGGAGTAGCCCAGCCAATGTGGCTCAGTGGATGAGCGTCGACTCATGAACCAGGAGGTCATAGTTCAATGCCCGGTCAGGGCACATGCCCGGGATGTGGGTAGGGGGCGTGCAGGAGGCAGCCAATCCATGTTTCTCTTTCTCTCCCTCTCCCTTCCTTCTCTCTAAAATAAATAAAAACATTTATTTTTTCTCTCTCTTTATTGATTAAGGCATTACATATGTGTCCTTATCCCCCCATTGAAAAACATATATATATATTTTTTAAAAAACAACAAAAAAAGGTCTCAAGAAAAACAAACAAAAAATGCTCTAATTTTGGAAGAATGGGATCAGAAAAAAAGCTTTTTATTTACACAGTATATTTTAGTGACATTTCCCATTCTGGAGCACTAACTATGGACAACCTTGTATTTGAGGCAAGAGAGGAGTGAGTAGAACTAAGGGAAGGTGCAGAAAATTCAAAACCACAGCAATGGATCATCTTATAGTATTTTCACATTCTGGACCATGTGATGACACTGCTGCCATCTGTTCTTTCAAAGGTTTGTATCTTCTGCTGCCATTTATCTATTTAAATCCTCACCCGAGGATATTTTTTTCCCCACTGATCCTTAGAGAGACTAGAAGGGAGGGAGGGGGGAGAGACAGAGAGAGAAACATTGATGTGAGAAAGGCATTGATTGGTTGCCTCCTGCATGTGTCCCAACCAGGGCTGGGATCAAACTTGCAATCCAGGTACATGCCCTTAACCAGGAATGGAACGTAGGACCTTTTGATGCACAGGCCAATGCTCTAACCATTGAGCAACAACCGCCAGGGCTGCTGCTACCATTGCAGGTATGCATGGTTGCATTGGGCTGAGGGTAGAACTAGACATACTCTCGGATCAGCCCTGGTGACAATCAGCCAAATGAAGGGTTCTTGTCTGAGATGATTTGTTAGTAAATATGGAGAAGTCACCTGCCTTTTACTTCCCACTTCTCTGCAGCCATCATACTGTCTATCATGATTACCCATCTTCTGGAGAGAGCAGATGCTTGCCCATCTCCTACACCCTATCTATCGTTCTTAAGGCTCTACTAATTTTGGTGAAGAGAGAAAGGAGGGAAAGCAAGCAGCTCACTGGATCTCACTCTCTAAATTCATAGCAAACTTGCCCAGCCGGTTTGGCTCAGTGGATAGAGCATTGGCCTGCTGATTGAAGAGCCCCCGTTCGATTCCAGTCAAGGGCACATGCCTAGTTTGTGGACTCAATACCCAGTAGCGGGTGTGCAGGAGGCAGCCGATCAATGATTCTCTCTCATCACTGATGTTTCTCTCTCTCCCTCTCCCTTCCTCTCTGAAATCAATAAAAATAAATAAATAAATAAATAAATAAATAAATAAATAAATAAATAAAATTCATAGCAACCTTGAATGAAAAGGAGAATAGCTACTCTTGAAAAGAGAGAATAATCAGACCTAGCTGGTTTGGCTCAGTGGATAGAGCATCAGCCTGCAGACTAAAGGGTCCCGGGTTTGATTCCAGTCAGGGCACATGTCCAGGTTACAGGCTTGATACCTGGTGGGGGCCATGCTGGAGGCAGCTGGTTGATGTTTTAAAAAACGATAGATTACAGGAATGATAGAAATGTTCCAAAACTGGATTGTGGTGATGGTAACATAATTCTATAAATTAACAAAAAAATAATTGAATTATATACTTTCTTTTTAAAAAAATCTTTATTGTTGAAAGTATTACATACGTCCTAAACCCCCCCTCCCAACTTCTTCTAGCTGAACTGTATACTTTCAATAGGAGAGTGTTATGGTATATAAATTTATTTCAATGAAGCTGCTAAAAAAAAAAAAAGGAAAACAAATCTTTCTTAAAAATTATGTTTCATCCTTTAAAAAGAATGAGGCAGTTCTATATGCATTCATATGAAATAATCTCCAAAAATATTAAGTGAAAAAGCAAGGTGCAGAACAGTATGCATAATGTGCTATAATTTGGTAAAAATATTTAAAAGATTACATGTATTTGCATAGATCACTTCTGAAACAGTATAAGAGAAAATAATAATGTCAGTTGCCTCTGGGTAATAGACTAGAAGCCGGGGATGAAAGGGAAACTTACTTTTCATTGTATGGCTTTTAAAAAAAAAGTTTTTAATGATTTTTGAGAAAGAGGAAGGGAGAGAGAGATAGAGAAGATAGAAACATCAATGATGAGAGAGAATTCATTGAGGGGCTGTCTCCAAATGCCCCCGACCAGGGACCAAGCCTGCAACCCGGGAATGTGCCCTGACTTGGAATCGAACCATGAACTCCTGATTCATAGGTTGACGCTCAACCACTGAGCCACACAGGCCAGAGGAACCAGTGACCTCTTGGTGCATGGATTGATGCTCAATCACTGAGCTTTTTAATATGTATTTAAAAAATAAATAAAATTGTTGTTTTCAAGAAAGAATCCCAATGACATTGTTAAGGCCCTCTACCTCAAACAAACAGCACTTTGTTAAAAGATTTTCTGGTTGGTCATCAAATTTGAACTATACACTGGTTGGCACAAGTTGATTATAATAAAATAGTTTGAATTTAGGCTTTAACGTTAGGTTTAAATGTAAAAGTATGGTTGGCTTTAGTGATACATCCTTTAAGGACTGGTGTACTACCTATCCGGGCTATACATCCCTCCATATCCAGCCATTCTCAATGTCAGGACTGCACTCAGCTGCCCCCATTAATACAAAGGGCCCACTGCTCGCTTCTCCAGGACAGCCGGGGGTAATGGACAGGCACAGGGACCAGCTCCTGTTCAGACACATGATAGAAGTGGGGTGCCTCCTCTGACCTGACAAATAAGGACTCAATTTCTCTTGTTTCCTTGGCAACTCACAGGCCGACAAGACAACCTCAGCACCTTAATCTGCAATCAGTGTGTACTACTACTCTAGAGAAGTTAAAAAAAAATTCTGCCTGGAGAGGTTAGAAAACCAACCAACCTTTAGCTTCCTTCTTTGGTGAGCTCTCTTCCTCTTTCTTCCTTATGGGGTATCAGAAGAACATGAGGAGGGAGTTAAAGCTCACTGTGTCTTATCCATACTATATGTTCTATGAGTAAGGACCCACTCATTCAAAGGAAAATGTGCCCGAAACTAGCAAGTTAGTCCTTAGTCAGCCTAACTGGGAAAACAAGAACCTCGCCCCCAGGGTAACTATCCTCCCCCAGCATATCACCGGTCATAAAGTTTAGACCCCTGACCTTTTCCTCCCTAAAGATAACATCTAGGCCTCAGTTCCTCAAGACCAAATACATTGACTAACGACCCTGCCCTGGCGCTGACCAATCATTGGTGACCATGACCCTGAAAGAGCACACCTGGAAAGCTGATGAATATTGTATTAAGACCCTCCCCTGAAACCTCTCCAAAAATTTCCACCTGCAAGAAAGAGATAAATACACTCAGAACAAAGGACCTACCTAGTGAATGCTCTCCCTCCAAGGGGCACTCCTCTGCCATTTCCTTCCCCCCACTGCTTTCCCCACCAGCACATTTCCCTTAGCCTCTAAGGCAGCGGTTTTCAACCTGTGGGTAGCGACCCCTTTGGGGGTCCAACGACCCTTTCACAGGGGTCGCCTAAGACCTTCGGAAAACACATATATAATTACATATTGTTTTGTGATTAATCACTATGCTTTAATTATGTTCAATTTGTAACAATGAAATTGGGGGTCACCACAACATGAGGAACTGTATTAAAGGGTTGCGGCATTAGGAAGGTTGAGAACCACTGCTCTAAGGGACTCCATGAGACTTGCAACCAGGGGAGCAGCTCGACCCAGGCTAACCCCTGAACCTGTCTCCAAGGCCCCCTTTTCTCTGACTTCTCAGTGAGCCAAAGCAGCCCAACCTAGGCTTTCCTGTTGCTTCTTCTATGCTCTTCCTTGTTTCACTGTCCTAAGTATATTTTTGCTGCCATCATGGACCAAATACCCTTTGGCTCAGTGCTGTGTAGCCCTTCCTTTTGGATATCCCCACCCTCCCATCCCCTTTTCCTTAAATAAATTCAATTTTCATTATCCACCGTCTGAGTTGGCTATTTAGCCTGCCTTCATACCATGGACTTCAACCTTTCAATTTTGATATGTTTGCTTTTCTGTATGTGTATTATACTTCAGTCCAAAGTTTAAAAAACTGTATTCTGGACTATTTTAAAATTATCTCAATGAAACACTACTTAGGAAATGCAGCCAAAGTTGTATGCACAAGAACATGTATAGCCTTAAAAACTTTTATTGCTGAACAAGAAAACATAGAAGTCCATTAACATAGCAGACAATGCAATAAATTGGAAGGGGGGGGGGAGTCATAGCGAAGCAAAATCTAAAGGAAATGAAGGGAAGAAATTAATAAAGATAAAAGTAAATGGAATTATTTCAAAATCAGAAAAAAAAATAAATGAATAAATCTAAGATCTAGTTCTTTGGGGGTACAAGGAAGCAAACAATAAAAATGATAAATCAGGCCCTGGCCTGGTAGCTCAGCTGATTAGAGCATCATCCCAATATGTCAAGGTTGCTGGTTCCATCTCAGGTCTGAGCACATACAAGAATCAACCAATAAATGAATAAATAAATGGAATCATAAATTAATGTTTCTCTCTTTTCTTCCCTCCCTTCTAAAATCAGTTTTTAAAAAATGATAAACCACTAGCTAACATAATAAAAAAGACAAAACAAATATTTAATTTAGGAATGAGAAAGGATTTATAACCATGGGTACAGAGAAAATTATAAGAAATACAAGGGAACACTTTGCCCAGTCCTATGCTAATACAACCTAAAATATGAATGCAATGGATAATACTCAAGGTAATATAGATCATCCATAGGGACTCAAAAAAAGTAGAAAATCAAATCAGGTAAATTGTCATGAACAAAAGCTGTTAAAAGATACACCTTAAAAAAATAATGCTGAACCTAG